AGATCCCAGCAGTAACTCCAGTCCTAAAGGAAAGAAACACAGAACAGAAGAGGATCCTCGGCGCCCTCTGGTGGGCAAGCCTGAGGATCCCAACATTTACTACTGTTTTCAAGGCTGCACTTTAAAATATGAAATTGTCTAAAGCTGTTCTAAATGAAATTTCTTTTTTGTTTACACTTGTGTATAAAACATGACTAAATAAATCTGTTTAAGTCATAAGTAATTATTGGCTTTTATATTCTTATAATAACAATGAAAAATCTAAAAAAAATATATAGTTTAGCACATTTTCCCAAAGTAAGAGTTGTAGTCTGAACTAGATGAGATTATCTATGTGTGCTACAAATTTGGAGGCACTACTGTGATTTATAGTGTAATTATTGGCTATTATATGCTTATAATAACAAAGAAAAAATCTCCAAACACACAGTTTGGCCAAGTCTTCCCAAAGTAAGAGTTTTAGTATGATCCAAACGAGGTTATTTTTGTATCCTACAAGTTGAAGGCAGTACAATGATCTATAGTGTAGTCATTGCTCATTTTATACTTGTTCTTATAATAGAGTAGAGGTGCCATTTGTCATTTGGGCTTTGGATATTCCAAAGTGTTAAGTGTTATTTTCAAATCCAATAAATGTGATAATAATCCACCTCTCCTTGGTGACGCTTTTGAATATTTCTCTCGGATTATTTTGCAACTTGCAGACGAAGCTGTAATGATCCAGTCAGAAGACCCAAAGTTTCAGCCAGAACACAGAATAAGGATTTAAACAGTTTATTAAAAAATCAGGACTTCAGGAGCACATCCACTGTGGGCCAGGGATTTCAAAGAAGGGAGATTTAGGTTAGTGGCTTGAAGGAGTTCAAATAATGAAAAGCATGAAACCAACAAAACCACTAACCTTAAAAGAGTCCTCCCTTCAGTAAGATCAGCACTTTGAATAGAGCAGATTGCTCCTTTAAACTGTTGTTGGTTGGCCAACAGTTGGGTGGCTTGGAGCACAGATGCAGGATTTACGTCCTGGAAGCAAGACTCAGGCTTAGTGAACAGGGAGCTTGGCAGGAGGCAGAAGTCAAGAGGCAGAAACAAGGTTGTTGTCCAGAGGGCAGATAAATCCAAAAAGGGCTAGGCAAAAAGGGAAAATCCGTGAAGCAAAGACTTGGTCAGG